GAGAGTGTGTGTCTGTGTGTGTGTCTGTGTGTGTGTGTGTGTATAACTGTGTGTGTGTGACTGTGTGTGTGTGACTGTGTGTGTGACAGTGACTGTGTGTGTGTGACTGTGTGTGTGACTGTGTGTGTGTGACTGTGAGTGTGTGTGACAATGTGACAGTGTGTGTATGACTGTGTGTGTGTGTGACAGTGTGACTGTGTGTGTGTGACAGTGTGTGTGTGTGACTGTGTGTGTGTGTGACTGTGTGTGTGTGACTGTGTGTGTGACTGTGTGTGTGTGTGACAGTGTGACTGTGTGTGTGTGACTGTGTGTGTGACTGTGTGTGTGTGACTGTGTGTGTATCTGTGTGTGTGTCTCTATGGGGAGCGGTAGTGTAGCGGTTAGCGCGCTGCGCTATGAGCCCAACGACCCGGGTTCGATTCCCGTTCACGGCCAATACCAGTGACGATTATCTGAACCGGTTCTGGGCCGCCCCTAGGTCGACTCAACCTCAAATTAGTACCTGGTGCGATGTGTAAACATTCCCACTGGGGAGACAAAGGCGGTCGGGCGTGGTGCTGACCACCCACCTCCTCGTGTACCGTTCCGGCCTTCATAGGTGCTCGCTAACAGCACTTGCCCCAACAGTCTGTTCAGGCTATACGGGGGATCTTTGTCTTTGTGTGCACTTGTATTTTGGAGGAAAACTTGGGGGGGGGGGCTTGCGTCTCACAAACTCTGCCGTAGATTCATCGAACCTCACGACCTGAGTTCCGAGTCCCGCTCACGGCCAACACGACTGATAGAGAACATTTTACCAGACACTGGGCCTCCCCTAGGTTTACTCAGCCTCAAATGAGTACCCCGGTGCGGTCTGCAGTAAACATCGCAACTGGGGGGGGGGGAGACAAACACGGCTGTGCGTGGTGCTGGCCAATAGGGTTGCTGCTTGCTAACAGCACTTGGCAAGATACAAACAAATTTCGATTTAAAGCTTTCGTGACTGCAGGGATTCATCTTCTTGGTTCTTTTTTTCACCGAAAGAACCAAGAAGAAAAAAAAACGAACAAAAATCCGTTCAGGCTAAATATAAACGCGGGGCTTCTTTGTTCTTTGTGCGCTCGACACCGAGAGTTGGACGCACGGAGGCACAGGGAGTTCTGGATCCGTCCTCTGCAGAACATCTTCGTAAATCCGGTGACTGCGATTTAAACTTTAAACACCAAATCGTTCCGTCCTTCGTGAATCTACGCCAACAGCCGCACAGAACCCCCGCGTCTCGGAGTGAGCCTGGAGAAGTTACTTGGTACAACGGGAGAGCCATCGTGCCTGCATCACAGGTGCTATAGGCTCGTGGTTTTCAATCTTTATTTTGGCTCCTGTGTAACACCCCCCCACCCACCCACCCCCTTACTGTTTCGGTAAAGTCACCTAGGTATACAAATAATAGATCATCGTCATCAGCTGTGGTTGTCTTACCTGATGACGATTTCTTGTGTTGCGATCGAAACGTCGTGATTTATTTTATTTTCTACCTACGTGACTTTACCGAAAGAATCAAATAGTATGGATTCCCGCAGTCACGAAAGCTTCAATTCAAGATGCCCCCCCCCCCTTGTTGAATTTTGTATCAACTCAGTAACCGCCCTCCCCCCCAAACCTTGCCTGACCCAACGTGGTGCATGAGAACTCAATGCACGAACTGTGAACGTCAACATTTTCTTGGTTCTTTCGGTAAAGTCACGTAGAAGGGAAATAATAAAATAATAAAAATAAAACATAATAAAATAATTCTCACGAATTATGTCGGGGAGACAGCGTCTGAATGACGCTGTCTCCCCGACAGACCTGGTCTTCACCTGAGGACGGCTGCTTGCGTTGTGGCCGAAACGTCGTGAGAATTATTTTATTGTGTTTAATTTTTATTATTATTTTATTATTTCCCTTCTACGTGACTTTATCGAAAGAACCAAGAAGATGAATTCCTGCAGTCACGAAAGCTTTAAATCGAAATTTAACGTCAACATTTTAACCAATTGTCCATGTTGTGTCCCTAACTGGCTGAGTAGTTGCGAGCGAATCATACACGGCCGTAGCAAAACGCCAAATCAAGTTCGTAGCAAAGGAGTCAACATTGGGGGGGGGGGACCAAATCTTCCAGGATGTCTGGGGGTACCAATCCAGAAAAATATATAAATTTGAAAACTAATTTCCTGCCTATAATATAAAAAAAAATCACTAACACATGGGATGGATATTTTTGTACAATGTATTGTATTACATTGCTCTGTTTTAATTGTTTTACCATTTCTTGTTTCATTGTATGTAATGGCAGAGATTAGGGATTAATAAAGTACAACCATCACCACAATCATATAAACAGAAATCTATGCTTTGTTATATGAAGACAAGTCCAGATTTCGATTTAAAGCTTTCGTGACTGCAGGGATTCATCTTCTTGTTTTTTTCGGTAAAGTCACGTAGAAGGGAAGTAATAAAATAATAAAATTATATTATTATATTATTAAATCATATTATTATATTAATATATTATTTAATTATGTTTTATTTTTATTATTGTATTACTTCCCTTCTACAGGACTTTACCGAAAAAACCAAGAAGACAAGTCCAGATGTTGTGGCCAAGGTTTAGCAAATTGTTGTTTATATTTACATAGCATAGCAATTTAGTTTTTATAGCAACATATTGGGGGGGACATTTTGAGCATATTTGAATATTGGGGGGGGGGGGGGGGTGGGTCATGTGCCCCCCCCCCTAATATATATTCTAATTACAGCCTTGGAATAATAAAACAAAGTCATCGGACGCTCTGCGTGCGGTGATGCTCGCTGGTGACACATGGAAACCAACATTGCTCTCGAATAAAGTTTGGAAATAATTATAATCATAATTTAATTGCATAAAGCGCCCTTTAAACCATTGTGCTTTTTATATGTATAGTTCTCGATTACCACTTGGATTGCAACATGTTTTATCGAGGTTATTTTATATCGGCAGATACACGCCTGATTGTTCTACCTAATGACTCTCACGTGTACGATGGGATTTCACAACATTTATAAATCAACTCGCGTTATCTCCTTTGGGGCCGTCCATAAATGACGTCACGCACCTAGGGGGGGGGTTGAGAAATGTGACGTCACATCAAAATGCGCAACTTTAAATAAATATAAACGACACGTTCTACTTAATTAAATAGACTTTTTCATAAATGTTTTCTCCTACAACATCAGAGTGCAGCGCCACTTTAATACGCACTACAATGACAATAATTTAAAGCGATTTGAAGAATTTTTTTTGGAGGGGGGGCAGAGCTTTGTGACGTCATATTTGAGGGGGGGGTCTGACTTTTTGTGACGCCGTGTGACGAGGGGGACGGGGCTCAAAAATCGTCCAAAATCGCGTGACGTCATTTATGGACGGCCCTTTGGGACATTGCCAGGGGGTCCGCACAACCCACCCCCACCCGGTTACGCTGTGGGCAGCAGAGGGCAGCAACATCCATTGTTAGCCTGTACTTCTATGCTCCCGTGCCTTCGCTTCTCTCTCCGGGACAAACCCGACAACTGCACAGTGAGGTATGGTCAAATAGTCACCCACCATTCACGCTGCGTGGGTAGCGCCTTCATCCAGCAGTGGATTGACTATGTCTGATGATCATCATAATCCATATCTAGTAGTGTAGTGTATAGTGTAGTGTATAGTAGTGTGTAGTGTAGTGTATAGTAGTGTAGTGTATAGTAGTGTAGTGTATAGTGTAGAGTATAGTGTAGTGTATAGTGTAGTGTATAGTAGTGTAGTATATAGTGTAGTGTATAGTGTAGTATATAGTAGTGTAGTGTATAGTGTAGTGTATAGTAGTGTATAGTGTAGTGTATAGTGTAGTGTATAGTAGTGTGTAGTGTATAGTGTAGTGTATAGTAGTGTATAGTGTAGTATATAGTGTATAGTGTAGTGTATAGTAGTGTATAGTAGTGTATAGTGTAGTGTATAGTGTAGTGTATATTAGTGTAGTGTATATTAGTGTAGTGTATAGTGTAGTGTATAGTGTAGTGTATAGTAGTGTATAGTAATGTATAGTGTAGTGTATAGTGTAGTGTATAGTGTAGTATATAGTGTAGTGTATGATGTAGTGTATAGTGCAGTGTATAGTAGTGTATAGTGTAGTGTATAGTAATGTATAGTGTAGTGTATAGTGAAGTGTGTGGTGCATATAGTAGTGTATAGTAGTATATAGTGTTGTGTATAGTGTAGTGTATAGTGTAATGTATAGTGTAATGTATAGTGTAGTGTATAGTGTATAGTATAGTGTATAGTAGTGTATAGTGTAGTGTATAGTGTAGTGTATAGTAGTGTGTAGTGTATAGTGTAGTGTATATTAGTGTAGTGTATATAGTGTAGTGTATAGTGTAGTGTATAGTGTAGTGTATAGTGTAGTGTATATTAGTGTAGTGTATATTAGTGTAGTGTATAGTAATGTATAGTGTAGTGTATAGTGTAGTGTATAGTAGTGTATAGTGTAGTGTATAGTGTAGTGTATAGTGTAGTGTATATTAGTGTAGTGTATAGTAATGTATAGTGTAGTGTATAGTGTAGTGTATAGTAGTGTATAGTAGTGTATAGTGTAGTGTATAGTGTAGTGTATAGTAGTGTATAGTGTAGTGTATAGTAATGTATAGTGTAGTGTATAGTGTAGTGTATAGTGTTGTGTATAGTAGTGTATAGTGTAGTGTATAGTGTAGTGTATATTAGTGTAGTGTATATTAGTGTAGTGTATAGTAATGTGTAGTGTAGTGTATAGTAGTGTATAGTGTAGTGTATAGTAGTGTATAGTAGTGTAGTGTATAGTGTAGTGTATAGTAGTATATAGTGTAGTGTATATAGTGTAGTATATAGTGTAGTATATAGTGTAGTGTATAGTGTAGTGTATAGTAGTGTATAGTGTAGTGGTGTTGCGCCACCATTGGGTTACTGCCCCTCCCCCCTCCACCATCTACGCGTGCCCACAACGGCGCAGCCACGGGTCGCGCTCCCCTCGCAACCAACATCAACCACCGCCCGCCAAACTCGTGTACAAAACTCACGGCGCTCGGCAGATTCACAAGCCAACTGACTACATTCTTGATCATTAACATCGCGTTATTGTCGTCGTCGTTGTTGTTGTTGTTTCACGTATCTCCACGCCGTCTCCGTTAATGATACCGTTATGTGAAGGCCTAGGAGGACGGAGCGAAGCCTACGCCCTTGCCTGGATCCCTCGGCCGGGTCGAGCGCTCCCTGCTCCCCGTGATCGCGTTGGGTGGGGGGGGGTCACCAGCGGCAAGTTACGCATTTTATTTTATTTCTTTTTTGTGTTTGCGCGCAGTGGTTATTTATTTTAACGCGGTATTTATTAACGATGTTGGTGTTTTACGTTGCTCTGGCAAGTTGAACGTGTGCCTTTAGGAAGTCTGGCTTTTGTAAGAATGTTAAGTGCTGCATAGGTAACGTAGTGTATAGTATATGATAGATCAATGCTATTGTTGTAGTGCAAAGTCTCGCATAGACGAATATTAATTTTAATAACGTCTGGCTCTGGTCATGATTTTAATATAAAGTGATAACGGCCGTGGATATTAAGTCGGCATTGCGTGAGCTCAATACGACCTCGCTCACAACTAATTATAAAGAACCGATTTAAGATGTTTTAAAGCCCGATAATAAACAACGTTAATTCGCACGAACTGTTGCAACAATTACTGATCCTGAGCAGAATCATAAAGAGGGTCTTAAACGACACGCCGATTAACTACAAGATTTTAAATCGACTCGGGACATTTGACGGAACGAGTGAATCCATTCTGAGATTATAGCCACTCGGCAATTCTCATTGTTTCTAAGTAATAAATTGTCAAAAATAAAAAAATCGATCAAGCCGGTCTGTTAAGAGAGCCTCCTACATATCCTTAGGGGGTATTTCGATGTCCAAACGGGTTTCAGACGGAAGCACGGTGTGGATTTAAACGATTCCAAGCATCTTTATTTACTACCACCTACCCATTCGTGATAACCGTGCCAACACGTAACTTAAGATTGCCCCCCAAAAAAACCCAGACACGTCAGGGCATTGATTGGGGCAGATAAAGCCGTGTAGTCAGTTTCATAGCGATTTGCTCCTGGGCTTTTATAAGTTATTTTCCGAAAACGTGATGGATGAACTGACGGACAGATACAATATTTACTGGGTATAGCAATATGTAGTCTTATCAGCTTTTCCTTTATACGCTCCGGGGCAAGTGCAGAATCACAAGTTGTCAAAACATTATTCGAGAACACAGAAAGATCAGACCACATTTCCATCACCTCAATCGCTTCATAGGTAGTCCTCAATTGAATCGGCAACCAAGTGCACGATCCTTCTCTACCCGATCACTTCAGTAATTGATTACTCGGACGATTATTATTTAGATCAATCGACTAATCGGACAACACAAATATTTGGGAGGGGAAAAAAAGTGGCATCTCTCTGCGCACGTGTGCCGCTGGACGGGAGGCAATGGACGGGGCTTGGTGACATCACCATCAGCTGCATCACTCTGGGCGTGGCTTGTAAGTGGGGTTTCCCACCTTCGGAAGGGCAGTCTGTGGGGGTGACCTCCATTTTTAAAGGTTGCCCGAGTGATCGACCACGCACAAAGTACGTGCTCGATTATCATTTTTAAATCCTTTATATTAAGTTCACTTGCTTGCGCGCTTACGACCGTGCAAATCTTTCGGTCGTTTTTTAACCCACTTCCCATGATCCAATCGAGCTGACATTTTGCACACAGACTCGTTGTGCGTGACAATTTCTTTTCGTGAATTTTTTTTCTCCAAAATTATACACTTTTTAGGTACAAAAAAATATATATATTTAATTACCAATTGCTTAATGGTGGCAGGCAATCATTTGACCCATATGTGGCAGCCATCTCAAGCCAGAGGACTAGAGGACTCTAACCGCCCGTTTCAAAGACCAATGTGGGCTGGGTTGTGGCACATTGAACACGCATATAAAGGATTTATAGTGAAAAACTTTGTTTTTATGGGTTAATTTTTTAATCGCGTAATCGCCTTCATCGTCACACCGCCCCAGCTATAATCTCCCGCCCTGCTTGCCACGAAAGGGACACCTCCACCGACCCGCCTTTCCAGGCGCTTCACGTAACGGAACCACCGTCATGGGCTTACACGGCAGCTCGCTGAGATGGTTTGGCACCAAACGTTCAGAAGGCGATCTGGACGGCAAGGTGTCCGCGTGGTGCAAGCGCTCCCCCAGCTACGACCACAACTGGACAGACCTGCACTACGCAGCCAGCCGGGGTGACCTCCACAAGCTCAACATCCTCCTGCACTCAACAGGTAGCAGATGTGCCGTGTGTTGCGTGGTGTGTTGCGTGGTGTGTTGCGTGGTGTGTTGCGTGGTGTGTTGCGTGGTGTGTTGCGTGGTGTGTTGCGTGGTGTGTTGCGTGGTGTGTTGCGTGGTGTGTTGCGTGGTGTGTTGCGTGGTGTGTTGCGTGGTGTGTTGCGTGGTGTGCAGGTTTGAAAGTGTGGCGTGGAAGAGGAGGGCGCCCGGGTGGTTAAGAGGTCAGAGTGCCGAGCTGACGCCGCTGAGATGCTGGGTTCTGTTCTGGGTTTCAGCAGCCTCTGATTCAACAGAATTATGAATCTAATGAGTAGACGTCTGCATGTTTACCAATGCAAACATACGGTAGTAACATACTGAGAATTAAAGATAATGGTTTGACTGTCGTCCAGCGGACATTATCCGAATGCGGTTTGTGGACCAGAGGGAAATTAAATGGTAATCAGAAATAGTTCTGTATTATCTGATTCCTTGAGCCATTTCCCAACATGAAGGGCTGCACTTGCTGTACACGAGTTCTGAATGGATACTCGGACTCCAATAGCACAATCGGGTAATTTTTTTTGTTTAACTCGGCACCACTTGTGTGAGCTAAACATTGATCGAGCTATTGAGTGCAGGTGGTGTAAGTGCTCCAGGTACCACAGGTTGGACAGCGGGTGAAACTGCACAGCAGGTGCCCCGATATCACTCTGTGTACCAGGACCCATGCCGTCCACTGGCTCACAGCAAACAAAACATGGTGGCCTCGCGCCTGGCGAGTGTACAGCTACGCCTTTGTTGTTAGAACTGCTTCTTGTGTGTTAGTTTGTTGTCCTTCCCCCCGGAACCTCCGATCAGCACGGTTGACTGCGTACGGTGCGAAAGAAGTTCAACATACACACGTACATAGACTCGCACAGTCACTCACCCACTCACATAGTCACTCATCCACACACTCAACCACCCTCCGATCAGCACGGTTGACTACGTACGGTGCGAAAGAAGTTCAACATACACACGTACATAGACTCGCATAGTCACTCACCCACTCACATAATCACTCATCCACACACTCAACCACCCTCCGATCAGCACGGTTGACTACGTACGGTGCGAAAGAAGTTCAACATACACACGTACATAGACTCGCATAGTCACTCACCCACTCACATAATCACTCATCCACACACTCACCCACCCTCCAATCAGCACGGTTGACTACGTACTGTGTGAAAGATGTTCAGCGTATACACGTACATAGACTCACACAGTCACTCATCCACTCACATAATCACTCATCCACACACTCAACCACCCTCCGATCAGCACGGTTGGCTACGTACTGTGTGAAAGAAGTTCAGCATATGCACGTACATAGACTCACACAGACACTCACCCACTCACATAGTCACTCATCCACACACTCAACCACCCTCCGATTAGAACGGTTGGCTACTTAGTGCGAAATAAGTTCAGCGTACTTAAGAAAGCGGCGGATCGTTCGTGTGTGCCACCGCGCTGTAATTGGACATTCGTCAGTGGCTGCTACGGCTCGGTAAACTCGTTACAAACTCTTGTCGCCATTTGCCCACCGATTTATCATCCCCCGTCGCGCTATCGGCGTCAAGCCCCTGAGACGTAGGAGTCCCGTTCGGAAGTGGATATCACAGAGCTGCGGAACTTTCTCCACCGCATATGACAAAGCCACCACTCGGGATTTCTTCAAGTGACCTCCGATCCACTAATTAGAGGGCAGCACTTTCCCCACCGGATATAACAGAGCCACCTCTCGTGATTCCTTCAAGTGACCTCCAATCCACTAATCGAAGGGCAGCACTTTCCCCACCGGATATCACAAAGCTAACTCTGAGATGTAAATTTCCTGTTCAGCCCCCCCCCCCCCCCCCCCCCCAATTCGCGCTGCAGTGATCGCCGTTTTTTTGCAATGGCATCAGACACCGACTCGTGCGACCGCAAAGACTTCTACGGGAAAACGCCGCTGTACTGGGCGGCGTACAAGGGTCACAGGGCGTGCATGGAGCAGCTCATCGGCCACGGCGCGGACGTCAACAGCCAGTGCAAGCACGGCAGCACCCCACTGCACACGGTCATTGGCCTCTACCCGGACTGCGCCATCCTTCTTATACAGGTCATTATCACTGTGTGTCAATGGGGCCTTGTAGAGGTCATTATCACTGTGTGTCAATGGTGCCTTATAGAAGTCATTATCACTGTGTATCAATGGGGCCTTGTACAGGTCATTATCACTGTGTATCAATGGGGCCTTGTACAGGTCATTATCACTGTGTATCAATGGGGCCTTGTACAGGTCATTATCGCTGTGTGTCAATGGGGCCTTATAGAAGTCGTTATCACTGTGTATCAATGGGGCCTTGTACAGGTCATTATCATTGTGTGTCAATGGGGCATTTATAGAGGTCATTATCACTGTGTATCAATGGGGCCTTATAGAGGTCATTATCACTGTGTGTCAATGGGGCCTTGTAGAGGTCATTATCACTGTGTATCAATGGGGCCTTGTACAGGTCATTATCACTGTATCAATGGGGCCTTGTAGAGGTCATTATCACTGTGTATCAATGGGGCCTTGTACAGGTCATTATCATTGTGTGTCAATGGGGCATTTATAGAGGTCATTATCACTGTGTATCAATGGGGCCTTGTAGAGGTCATTGTCACTGTGTGTCAATGGGGCCTTGTAGAGGTCATTATCACTGTGTATCAATGGGGCCTTGTACAGGTCATTATCATTGTGTGTCAATGGGGCATTTATAGAGGTCATTATCACTGTGTATCAATGGGGCCTTGTAGAGGTCATTGTCACTGTGTGTCAATGGGGCCTTGTACAGGTCATTATCACTGTGTATCAATGGGGCCTTGTACAGGTCATTATCACTGTGTGTCAATGGGGCCTTATAGAAGTCATTATCACTGTGTATCAATGGGGCCTTGTAGAGGTCATTGTCACTGTGTGTCAATGGGGCCTTGTACAGGTCATTATCACTGTGTATCAATGGGGCCTTGTACAGGTCATTATCACTGTGTGTCAATGGGGCCTTATAGAAGTCATTATCACTGTGTATCAATGGGGCCTTATACAAGTCGTTATCACTGTATCACAGGGGCCTTTTTTTCCAGGAAGTGGCCCCGAAGCTTGCCATAACGTAAGGGACCGTGGTTTATTTACAGCCAACGTCAGTTGAACGTGGACAATTAGACTCAAGCCGAAACATAACATATCAAAACTAATGTTTAATTTTTTTTAATAGAATATATTATTGTCATCAGTATGACATGAGTATACCAAGTTTGCAGTCAATACCACATTGGGAAGTGGGTTAAAATTGAGTTACAATATTTGAGGATACGACAACAACAGACAGAGTGAGTTAAATAAAAGCGTGTGATAATAGGTTTTACCCTTTCTGGCAATACAACAGGTGTACAGCTGTTCAAGCATCAAATAGGAACCTTTTGCAAGGCATCAAGTCTGCATTAACCGCACATAGTTGTGACAAAACATGCAAAACAAACATGCTTTGATAATATATAAACGGCTGTCTCTGGTGCTGGTGTAGGCCAATCAGTTTCAAAGACGATGCATTTATTATCGGATCATGTTTGTTTGCATGTATTGCCACTTGTACGCGTGGTTAATGCAGACTTGATGCCTTGAACATCTTAACGCCTTTTGGTGTCATCTGGTCCAACCCATGTGAGACTAGGCTCTAAGGAAAGCCGTCTCAGGTGTAGACCAATCAACTTCAAGGACAGTGCATACATTATCAGAGTTAGGTTTTTTGTTTGCATTATGACTGCAGGTATTGTGGTCAATGCAAACATGACTCCTTGTAAAAAAGGTGTCAGTTTTGTTGCCAGATAAAAGGGTAAAAAACCAATTATCATCTTAACACCTGTTGTATTGCCAGAAAGGGTAAAACCTTTTCTTATTTTCTTTAAATTTTTATCAGGTAAGGCCTACTGAGCTATATCGCTCTTTCTTCCAGAAGCTACCCGGCCATCACAAATGATAGCTGAGAACGAAGTGGCTTGTCACATGGACATTTATAGCGGCTAAATACTCTCATGCGCATGTTGATTCTAAACGTGGAGGGGAAAACATCTGAGCCACCGTGGCGAGATGTTAACTACAATGACCCCTTCCACAGCGGGTCTCGTTTGTCTTTTACTTATATACTTATTAGTTTTTCCTCCTCTCGGCCGACAAATTATTTATGATGACGTACAGCTCCTTGGAAACCTTACGTTGTAAATGTAATTTATATCATTCTCGGCACCCGACAATGCCTTCCCCTTTTCTGGTCCAGATATTTCACGTTTAAACAAATGTTTTATTTTGTTTGCGGGCCACGCAAAGACAAAGACATCCCATATAGCCTTCACCAGACTGTTGGGGCAAGTGCTGTTAGCGAGCACCTCTTAAGGCCAGAGCACGGCACAGGAGCGGGTTGTGTGGCCAGCACCACAACTGGCCACCTTTGTACCCCCAGTGCCGATGTTTACACACCGCACCAGCTGCTCATTTAAGGCGGAATCGACCGAGGGGAGAGGCCCAGAACCGGTTCAGATAATCGTTGCTGGTGTTGGCCGTGAGCGGGAATCGTACTTAGGTCGCCTGGTTCGGCGGGCATCACGTTTGCCGCTGCACTACCGTGTCTGCTGCCATCTAGTGGCAGCATATGGTCATGATCAAAATTTCGATGTAAAGCTTTCGTGACTGCAGGGATTCATCTTCTTGGTTCTTTCGGTAAAGTCACGTAGAAGGGAAATAATAAAGCAATAAAAATAAAACATAATAAAATAATTCTCACGAGGGTGAATAACAGGTCTGTCGGGAAGACAGCGTCTGAATGACGCTGTCTTCCCGACAGACCTGTTCTTATTTTATTATGTTTTATTTTTATTATTTCCCTTCTACGTGACTTTACCAAAAGAACCAAGAACATGATCAAAATGTTTTACCAAATACAAAAAAAGTTGACGGAATTAATTGAAACATGGCTGGCTGCAGGCTGATGTCAAGTTGAAAAACGCATGGCTGTGAAAGGAGTTACTCGATTATCCGTGGGTGGATTGCCCGTCTTACGGATTAACCGTGCTTGCGTAATCGATTTACGCGCGAAGGGTCAGTGACCCAGTGCCCACTTGACCGCACAAGCATTGGTAAGTGAACCGAGACAATAGCAACAGGTGACACATGTTTGTCCCTCATTTACAGATACTTTGTGTTGCCTGCGTTTTTGTTTTATCTGGGCCACTCCTTCCCGCCCCATTATTAATTCATTTGTATTTTACCAGGTAAGGCCCACTGAGCCACAAATGATAGCTCAAAAAAGTGGGCTTATCACGTAGGAAATGTTTCGCAGCAAAATACTCTTAAACGCTTGTCGATTCTAAATGTGGAGGGAATAACTGTAGGATCCAGAGAAATATCCACGCGACCACAGGGAGAACATGCAAACTCCAAATACACAGGTGTCAGGGTCGGGATCGAACCCACAGCCTCCTGTACACCAGGCGAGGTAGTTAACATCTCGCCACCGTGGCGTCCCGCGTTACCCCGGATAACCGAGAGATGACTGTGAATATGATTTTGTCCATCCAGTGTCTCTCCATCATCACCGACCAATCAGAACGCTCCGTACTTCACCGTGCAGGGTTGGTAAAGGCAGGGAGCGTAGATGTGGGAGCATTTGAGTACAGGGACAGCGATGGACTTAGCTGTCCGCACCCTTCTGCCCACCCTTTTAGCTGCAACGTACCGCGATCCCTAAGAATCACGAATGGACGAATCAGTTTTTTTTAGCGTACCAATGTTACAAAGGTCGTGGAAGCGACTTCTGGAATCCGGTCTTTATTTGTCTTTCGTTCACAACACTCCCATCTTACTCCTTCACGCTGCTGACAGCGTGAGAGGGAGAGAGAGACACGCGCGGCCACGTGGCAGCCTGGACCACGTGGCAGCCTGGACCACGTGGCAGCCTGGACCACGTGGCAGCCTGGGCCACGTGGCAGCCTGGACCACGTGACAGCCTGGACCTCCGCTCCAGTGTGGCCTCACCCTCCGTTCGTTCCAGATCTGACCACGTGTTGTCCGTCTCCACCCCTTTCAATACCCGGGTCACGTGGTACCTTTCCACCAATCCTGGTTAGCCTCTATGGAATCTTCTAGACTCCATCGTACGCTCCCAGGACCGCGCCCCTGACTCGTCCCCCCATTGGCTGTGGCTAAAGCCAGCAGATCCAATCCTCTACTTACAGATGTCACCTTCCCATTACGTCAGGGCCACGCCCCTAGGCTTCCCCCCATTGGCTATGGGCCAGGACCGGCAGAACCAATCATCGTAACGAGGTGTAAACCAATCAGCAACCCGGATATATCCTCACATTACACATGCACCTCCCTTCAACGAAGCCCTCCCCAATGCTCACTGCCCCTTTGACCATGCACGTCGCCAACAATGAGACGACCTCTGTCCCACGACAGCACGGTGCGGACGTGAACCAGTCGGACAAGTGGGGGGTCACCCCGATGTACCTGGCGGCATGCAACGGCCATCTGGACGGGCTGCGGCTGCTGGTGCACGCTGGCGCCGTCATGGCCTACAGGAACAAGGTAACTACGCTCTGTTGGGTGGCATCGTTAGGGGCATGGCCTACAGGAACAAGGTAACTACAGCCTGTTGGGTGGCATCGTTAGGGGCATGACCGAGCTGTGACGCGTTAGCCCCTTGCGGCATACGTTTGCGGTTCGAGACCCAACGCGGCCGGATGTTTGAGATCCCGTGCGTGACGTTATCGGAAAGAGAGTGCCGTTGTCAGGTTTGTAAAATGGGGGCGGCAGTCATCGATCGGCCTCCACTGTGAAGCTACTGCAGACTGAAACGTAATAATCAAAACTTGACACATTCGCCAACAATATAATCTCAATTTCGATTTAAAGCTTTCGTGACTGCAGGGATCCATACTGGTTGGTTCTTTCGGTAAAGTCACGTAGAAGGGAAATAATATAACAATAAAAATATAAAACAATAAAATTCTCACAACGTTGCGATTGCAACACAAGCAATCGTCATCAGGTGTGAAAACCACAGCAAACATTTTTCAAATTGTCTTGCTGTGGTTTTCACACCTGATGATGATTGCTTGTGTTGCAATCGAAACGTCGTGAGAATATTATTGTTTAATTTTTATTATTTTATTATTTCCCTTCTACGTGACTTTACCGAAAGAAACAAGAACATGAATATAATCTCATTCTAATCCTAATTTATATTAACAGAGCGCCTTCGCTCAAGGCGCTTGACATAGCTTACAAAACGATGACAGAGTGGCATGGTGTAGTCGACGGGCGTACGAGGATTGAGGAACAAGTGACAGCGCTAGGGGTGTACTTTGGGATCATGAAAGGGTAGGGGAGGGACGAGAACGAGTGGAGGGGCGAGGGGAGGCAAGCGGAGGAGAAAGAGCAACAGTCAAATATAGAATAGGCGACTTTTTAGGCAGTGGGAATGAAGCAATGGTTTGATCATAACGCACAAGCAACGTGATTTTCGTCGAATCGCGATTGCGACCATTCGTATCGGTGCCCCCACTGTTCCTCGCACGTCACGTGACGTCACCGTGCTGCGCGACTAATGCGTAGGCCGTAGTCAGGGCCACTGACCTCGCTTCACCTTGCTTCGGAGCGCCAACTCGGTGGAGTGGAAGTTGCGCCGGTGTTTATATTCGACAAAGGCAGCAACAATGAGACAACTGTTTAGCAGTTTCGCCGGAGTGTCGGATGTACTCGAAACATTTTTTTAATCCGCTCTGGAATGGTGATGGCGCTTTCGTTTTTGTGTAAGTGCCAAACCAGTGACTTAGCCCATCAATACTCCATAATTTCTCAGGCTGTAATTAGCCGCCTTCAAAAATAGCGCCCCATAGGTGGAGCTAGAATTTAGGCGGTTTGAACCTGCGGTTGCCCGATTTGTGAAGCTGTCCATTGGCGGAACGGCTTTTCCGAGGGGCGTAATGAAAAGCACCCTGGGTAATTACTCCGCCTGACAAAAACGTGGCACACTCGAAGCAGACAGTTGCAGTAACGATCCGCGCGCTCTCAATTTCAATGAATCGCTCAATATTAATTTTACGTGCCAATATCGCCCGCCCCCCCCCCTTTCGTACAATGGGCATCGGTGCACATTACAGCGGAACGGGAAGAGTACGAGGGGGGTGGAGGGAGGGGGAGGGCGGCACGGAAGCAACAGGAATGAAAAGAGAAAGGCGTGACGATCCTCGAGCAGGGTGAATCGCGATGGGGAAGCCCAGCCGTGCTTCCTAAGCGGATAGCGTGGGAAAAGGTTTCAGCGGTACACCGAAAAACTAACTGAAAATTAAAGAGACGGTTTTAATTGAATGATCCATGGGAAGAAGGAATATCCTCTTAGTTCTTTCGGTAAAGTCACGTACCTACGTGAAAGTCACGTACCTACGTGACTTTATCGAAAGAACTAAGAGTATGCCTTGCAGTCACGAAAGCTTCAAATCTAGAATTAAGAAGGAATATCGATGGAAGGGTCAATTTTCCACTATCGGGGCACACGGACAACTCGCTGGTTTTATTGACCCCTAAATTTCAGGGCATCGTGGGGGGGGCTCTGTCCTCTCCTCGCTGCAAAGGACCCCCGGCGTTAAATTTCCCCGCATGCTCCAGCAGGTGAAATGAAACTCTCCGATGCCTAACGTGAAACCCTCCAGAGTTTCCAAAGCTAACGGCACCTCTGACCCGACTCAAATAGAACATTTAAACAAAACCCGCTATGAGATACGTACACACTAACTGGTCTCCCTTGGCTACGCTGCTCTTAAATACCACCTTAGCCTGGCTCTCTCACTCAGGCTCGGGTGGTACTCTTCGAGGGCAAGGTAACTCTATCAGCCAGGCTAAGGCACCCTTCGTGAGCAGTGGAGCTCTCTCAGTCAGGCTAAGGCACCCTTCAAGAGCAGGGTAGCTCTATCAGCCAGGCTAAGGCACCCTTCAAGAGCAGTGGAGCTCTCTCACTCAGGCTAAGGCACTCTTCAAGAGCAGTGGAGCTCTATCAGCCAGGCTAAGGCACCCTTCAAGAGCAGGGTAGCTCTGTCAGCCAGGCTAAGGCACCCTTCAAGAGCAGTGGAGCTCTCTCAGCCAGGCTAAGGCACCCTTCAAGAGCAGTGGAGCTCTCTCAGCCAGGCTAAGGCACTCTTCAAGAGCAGTGGAGCTCTATCAGTCAGGCTAAGGCACTCTTCAAGAGCAGGGTAGCTCTGTCAGCCAGGCTAAGGCACCCTTCGTGAGCAGTGGAGCTCTGTCAGCCAGGCTAAGGCACTCTTCAAGAGCAGGGTAGCTCTAGCAGTCGGGCTAAGGCACCCTTCAAGAGCAGTGGAGCTCTCTCACTCAGGCTAAGGTGGTACTCTTCAAGAGCAGTGGAGCTCTGTCAGCCAGGCTAAG